TATAATTATTCTTAAGGGGTCATTTTCAAAGAGTATATACTTATTATTACTAACGTTAAAGAATTACAATTAGATTGGATCTATATTTATGTATATACATATATAGCATCATGCACATTTTATTTTACCGGATATTGATTGGGCTCTTCTTTTAACAATGTTATACCGTAAAGAAATTATCAAATTTATGTCACTCGGGTATTTAACATAATTTTAAATGCCTCATCTTCACAAGGTCGTCAGTTCTAAGACTGGTTGGACACGCACCTTCACTGTTTCCTATCCTGAGCTAATTATCGCATTTCCTTAAAACTAGAACATTCCACATTCTTAACTGTTTGCAGTAACAGTAATCTAATCTATGTCTACCTATGCTCCTCTTAACTCCTGTTTCTGCTTCTAATACGTCTCTGAGTAGTCCTTCATGCCTGAGAAGGTGTCCTACCAATCTATCTCGCATATTTCGATTCATTATAAATAATTCAAAACAGTTTCAAGAGGTCGAAGTCACGGATAAATGATGCTATGACATGATTTCATCCTAGTACAAATTAACCAATTGTAGTCTTCGAGGATAGGCAACCGTTGTTTCAACTAGACAGAATACTCTAATACAATCCTAAATAAAATCTAACATACTATTAAAATAAACATCATTTTACACAGGATTTTCTGTTAACTATTAAATATTGATGCAAGTAATAGTAGTTGCAATTAATTTTATTTATAATTTTGGCATTTTTCAATAAAACCATCTATTTAACATTGTTTGTTTTACAACTTAAAAAGTCACTTTGAATAAGAAATTTTGTACACATATTATCAAGGGTATAGAAAAGCACATAGGATACGATTTATCCAGAAAAAATAATGTTCTCATCATCATCATCATCATCATAAGGTCATCAGTTCTAAGACTGGTTGGACACGCACCTATTCTGCGCTAATCTTCGCATTTCCTTAAAGCTAGAACAACCCATATCCTTAACTGTTTGCGGACAGTAATCTAATGTAGGTCTAGCTCTACCCCTCCTAACTTCCGTTTCTGCTTCTAATATGTTTCTGACTAGACCTTCATGCTTGAAAAGGTGTCCTACTAACGTAACTCGCCTATTTCTTATTGACTTCCATAGAGTCCTCTGTTCTCTTACTCATTATAATACCTCTTCATTTCCAACCTTCTTTATCCACGGTATCGTCATCATTCGCCTATAACACCACATTTCGAACGCTTCTAACCTTTTCTTTTCTGCCGCGCCCACTGTCCATGTTTCGCACCCGTACAGCGCCGTGCTCCAAATATACACCTTTAACAACCGAATTTCTAAATTAATCGTTCGCAAGCACTGAGGGCGACACGACCCTGCGCTATCCTCTGCTTCAGATCCCTACTACTGCTTCCGTCCTGACTTATCTGACTTCCTAGATATCCGAAATCGGTTTTTGTATAATCGAGTTTTGTATAATCGATTTCACACTTTAACTATTCAATCGATCATCATGACATTTTGTAGAAACATTGTCAAAACTACAGAAAAGGTCATAGGGTACCTTGTACACAGAAAAAAAGTACTGTTACTTAGAGATAGAAAAAATTTGTCTTATGTGATCGATTTAACGCCTTGACTATCTAATCGACCATCATGAAATTTTGTAGACTTTGTTGGGGGTACAGAAAAGACCATAGCTCACCTTTTACCAAGAAGAAAAAATTCTGTTCCCCAGGAATAGAAAAATTAGTTTTATCTTTGACACATTTTTATAACACCAAGGCGAGCGAAGCTGCAGGTAAAAGTTAGATATGCATAATTAAACTTATGAAGTGTGTGGATATACATTTTATTCTCCTTAATTGTATCTTAACATAAGTCATAAAGTTATTAATTACAACCGACATTAGTTTTCCTTTACGACTAGAGTCGTATGAACAAAACTGTTTTCTTATCGGCCATTATCGGCTTAACTTCAGCCAAATTACTGTCAATAAAAGTGAAATGTTTCTATACGTAATGAACCCTAATTGATGACAAACGTTTCTACCGCTGATAATTTATGTAAACAATGAGTGAGCAACATTGCAAACGAAACGTCGAAAATAATTTAAAACAATCGCTAAAGGCTATAGGATATACATTGAAATAAACCGTGGTGTGCTTATTTGATTAATTTACGAATTTAAGAGGTCATTCTACATCGAAAAAACATAAAAATATACAACGTAATTATACAACACGCTACTGAAGTGAAACTTCTTCAAACATACAAACATACCAGGATATGGGTTAAGGAATTGGTTTAATGGTATTATTTGTACGCTATGAATTTAAATTTTACACTATACATGCCGGAGTTACCTGTAACGAACTTTGCATTGAAGCGTTCACGGCTCAAGCGATCCCCACTATGAACTCGACTACATGGCCGAGTAGAAAAACTTACCCTACCGTCCGTAAAGAAGTTCACTTCAAAAAGCTTTCAAAACTGTTCTAGAACGTTACCATAAAGAAAAAGAAAACATAATTTCGTCTGATTCTAATGATATATCACATATCGTAGAGATGTGAATTGCCACTCCTACCGTCTACCGAAAGATATTTTTACATGATTTTAGAGACGTAGGCGTAAACATATCCCCCCCCCCTTCCAGGTAAGAAATCATATTTACCCGTAACATAGTCTCCCTTTCGGATGTTCGGGCGGGGACTACCTTGGGAGATACCATCAAAAGATGCAATAAGTAAAATTGCAATATTTCACGAGTCGGAGCGTAGAACTTAGAAGTTAGAAAATTAGATAGCTGAGATGGATATTAGGGTAGCATTAGATACAGTAGGCCGTTGGCCAGATGCTGGAGAGTTTAGAATAATTCATACAGGATCAGTGGAAGGTAATTCGGGTTAGGAATTGTAGTTCGTAAGAAAGCAGTACAGTGTAGAAAGCTATTTGCAGAAAAGCAATAGGGTTGTTATGATTAAATTAAACTCGAAACCGGTAAAAACATCTGCACCTATACGTTTACGTTATCTTACAATGATGAAGACGTAGAAGCTGTATATGCAGATGTAGAAGACGTGTTAAGTTTAGTGAAAGGATAGGAAAACCTATTGAAAACCTAGGAGACTTCAACGCAATAATAACTGACGGTAATGAAGATGTGATAACAGGTTCTTTTTGGAGTAGGCAATAGAAATGATAGAGGAGATAGTCAGATATAGATAGCAATCATAATCTAGTAGTAATAAAGACCAATCTTAAATTCAAAATCATGAACAAGTGGGAGGGTAGCAAACGTCTTTATTTAGAAAAATTGAAATGTAATAAAACGCGTGATAGGATAGGTACATGGACAGACGAAATACTAGAGCAGGCGGAAGAAATGAATGACAGCGACGTAGAGACAGAATGGAACAGTATTAAAACGTACTTAGATTCCGCTGATAGATATTTATTAGATTTTATACGAAACGAAAGTAGGAAATTCTGGATAATTACCAAGATTGTACGAATAATATAAGAAAGGCAGAAATACAAGAACAGGACAGACGAAGAAGGCCAAAAAAGATATAAGGCGATAAAGTGGGAAGTAATTAGGAAGTGTAGGGCAGCTAAGGAACAGTGGATTGATATGAGGTGCAAACAACTAGAAGAAAAGTTTAAAGTAGATAAAACGGATGAGGCTTATAGTATAAGTAAAAGGAATTTTGAAAAGTAGGATATAGTAGTAGTAATACTATAAGAAACGAGACAGGATTAATTTTGATAGAAAATGAGAAAAAGGCAGATAGGTTGAAAGAATATTTAGAGAATTTATCCGCAGGCCAGGAATTAGAAGATATGTTGGAGAAGAAAAATAGTGTGGGGTAGGTGAGTTAGGATATCCCATAATGAGACAAGTCTGATTTAGCATTAAAAAAAATTAATGAATAGTAGAGAGGCGCGGATAGATGCCAGAAATTTAGAACAGTTAGCTTAACTTCCCATGCGTCTAAAATGTTAACTAGAATCCTGCAGGGAAGAACTACTAGGGGAAGACAAATTTTTGGCTTAGAAGAAATAAGAGAACGCGGGGGGGCATTTTAGCTTTACAAATAACAATAGAGAAAACGATAGAAAAAGGTTAGAGAGCGTACATAGGATTCGTAGATTTAGGAAAAGTTTTTGACAATGTTAAATGGGATGAGATGTTAAATTTCTATACCTAAAAATGTAGGGATAAGATAAAGAGATAGAAGAGTGATTTAGGTGTAGTTTGTATAAAGAGCAACAAGTAGTTATAGAACTTCAGCAGCCAGTAACGTAGAGAAGTAAATATTAAGAAGGGCGTCAGACAAGATTGCATACTGTCACTGCTACTTTTTAATCTATAAATTGAAGACGCGATAAACAGGACAAATTTAGATATAGATAGAAAAAGATTAGATGGAAGCGGTATTGACAAAACAGTATTGTCAGAAAAGAAGGAACAATTTTAACACTCCATCTGATAAGGTTCAAAAAGGGACGGTTTTCTTACTATTTGCCAGACAATAAATATTTATCAAATTCATAAGCTTCTAGGAATAAGAAATCAAAACATGACCTGCCATCTGTTGATTAATGATGAAATTGTAATACTTATTCCATAGAATAGTAGTTTGATCAATGGATCTGCCTAATTTCTGTAAAATTTATACGTTCGTTGTGGGTTCTTGCTTGTTATTTCTTAATACTACCAAATATGAATGATAGTGATAGTTAAACACTAAATAAACCACGAAACGTTATTACAAAGTTTTAATCTCTTGGCACTTTTTTAAATCTAAATCATAGCTTAAGTTCTTTGAAGAAATAATTTTAGTAAAATGTATGATCCCCAAAAATTACTCTCAGGGTCGGTTTTCGATTAACAAAAAGGCGGCAACCCCAGTATCTTAACTATCCTAACATACGCTATACGTTCTGTTCGTTTCGTTTTCGTAACCACCATCCGTTCAGCGGTAATAATACCACAACAAAATAGCTGCAGAAAATGACGTTTGCATGACGTTTGTTAGTAATAATTAGACGAAAATATGTTAATTACTAACATAGAGTGTTTTTGTTAGTAGTTAGGTGAAAAATTAAGACTGATGGAAAGTATGATTCGTTATTAGTGTAAACCTTCAATTAGTCATGAAATTAGAAGATGGAAGCATTAAAAACGATATAATTGTTAATCCATATCAAGAAAGCAACGATTATTCCTACACTTTAGAAGAAACAAACAGCGATAACATTATACAATGTAACCCAGATTTGATCAAAAGCTATGATATTTTAAAATCTACTCCAGTTAAACATAAGGGCAGATTTTACCAACAAATTCTATCTAAAGCTGGAAATATTCGTAGTCAAAGTATGCCAAATTTTGTTGAACAGCAAAAGCAGTGTGATATGGATGTGGCAGATATATGTGATATTAAAGCTAAGTTACTATATGATAGTGCAAGTCCTCCTGAATCTCCTAATAAAGAATCTTGGTTCAATTCCTGGCCAGAAAAAGTTAGTGGCTATCGAATAACTGCTGTAAGGGCAGGTGATGTAAAGAATCTCGTTAAATCAAATTCTAGTTTGTATGTCTCTCTTCTACCTTCAAATAATCAAAATGAAGACTGCAAAAACAATACTCATGGAAAAATTTCTTTAAATGATGCTTTACAAAACATATCGCTAGCATACAGCCCAGTAACCAGACAATTACATTTAATTGAGAGTAATGACAAAATGGAACAAAAAGAAAATAACAATGTCTCAAGTGCTTCTTTAGAAAATAGTGACAAATGCTACCAAAGAACATCAAATGAATCTTTTTTTAATAGTTCAAATTCAAGTGGACCTCCCTCTCCTTCTTCTTCAGGAAGTCTGTTGGAAGACAAAAATTTAGTTGAAGATGAAACAAGTATTAAACTCAAAAAGAAGGCTTTATCCAATATATTTAAACGGTAAATGTATATTTTTGAATGTATTTTACTTTATTTACCTAATGAAGCCATGTATTATCAGAAATCTTTTCTCGTGGAAGTCTTGTACTAGTGAAGAGAATGTGGGAAAATGGAAATTTTTCAGTAAAACAAGTGGTGCAGAATCAGATGTTTCTCCTCAACATTCTAAAAGGTGTGCTAGAATAGTAGCCAGTTCGACTGCACTAATTCAACATATAAGGTAATTATTACTTATATTTTAAGTTTTCTATATATTGATTGCCCTTCGTGGGTATTATTAGGTTTATTTAAACTTCTTTGAAATATGCTTTCATTTATCACATGATACAAAATATTTGACCATAAATATTAACATAAAAAAAGCAAAGAGGGGCTTGAGAATCATAACTATAAACTAAAATTAAGACTAAAATAATAATTAAGTAAATTTTAGACGATTCATAGCCAAGGCATAATAAATTTCCATCATAGTATTGTTTATTTGAATTCTACTGGACAAATCAATATTTTTAATACTAAATAGTATGTACATATATTCATAAAAGTGCATTAATTGCAATCAAATATTGTAGGCCCTCCCATTTACCTGCTAAACCAGAAGATGAAGAACAAAGGCACCGAGAAGAATACAAAGCCATAATAATGGCTGCTAAAAAGAAGGAGGCTCAAACAAATGCTGCAAAAGAGAAACAACAAAAATTGCTTTTGGAAATTGAAGAACAACTTGCCTTAGCTACTAAACACTTTATTTATAAAGTTCTTCCAAATTGGGATGTCATGTAAGTCTTTTATTCTTATTTTAACAACTAATTTAATATTTGTAATTCATAAAATGCAAAAAGAGTTTTAAATTAACTTGAAAATCATTGTTTCTTTAAATGTTTTTGTTAGAATTTCGTAGTGTTATAATTACTTGGTACTTAGTTATCGAATTTATTAGGTATAACACGCGTAAAACCAGGGATTTTTGGTGGCAAGGTTTACCATCTGCTGTTAGAGGGAAAGTATGGAAATTAGCCATAGGAAATGAATTAAATCTCACACAACAGTTATATGAAATTTGTTTGGAACGTGCCCAGAATCATTTAAATAGACCTGAGTCAAGCTGTGGCAGCTCTAATATCGACGAAGAAAGTAGCATGGATCTTATACAATTGGACATTTCTCGAACTTTCCCACAGCTGTGCATCTTCCAAGAAGGCGGACCTTATTCTGATGTTCTTCACTCGTTATTGGCCGCTTACGTCTGTTACCGTCCCGACATAGGCTACGTGCAAGGCATGTCTTACATCGCCGCAATTTTTATACTGAACATGGACGAGCTGGATGCGTTTATCTGTTTTTCAAATTTGCTAAATCGAACTTTACACTTGGCCACGTTCACTTTAGATCAAAACTTGATGCAGTGCTATTACAATGCATACAAAGAAGTTTTCAATTATAATTTACCTAAACTGTACGGTCATTTTGAAAAGTGTGGCCTTACACCAGATCTGTACCTCTTGGATTGGGTTTACACTGTTTTCGCAAAAGCTATGCCTTTGGACGTTGCATGCAGAGTTTGGGATGTGTATTTAAGAGATGGAGACGAGTTTATATTTCGAACTGCTTTAGGTAATTATCAGTTGACTTGGTTTAACTGTAAAAGCCTAAATAATAAAGAAAATTATGATTTTTATTGTTATTGAAGCATTTACAGTAACATACTACGAAGATTAGAGTCTTAAATGAAATATACCTTTGAAGATACTTTACTGAACCTATAAAACTCAAATTGTTTTAGTTATTTATACACCTTTATATTAAATTGGCGTTTGCAGCAAATCTTACAGAACCTGTTATTTTGTTTCAAATCTGTAAGACATACGATTTTTTATGAAATTTAAATGTTTCCTAAGGATGTTTTTATGCAGTGAAAACTAAGTTTACTTCACAAAAATTTAAATTTTAGTTAACTTTGAAGTACGTTGCTGTATTATTAAAAACTATTTTTAAATATTTGTTCCCCTACAAGGTATTCTACATCTACATCAAACCGTCTTAATGGAAATGGATTTTCTTCATGGGGCTAAATTCCTTACACATCTACCGGACGATTTGTCATCCGAACTACTTTTTAAAAGCATACAAACAATGAATACCTGCATTGGAAAACAAACATTCAATCAGATCGTCGAACGCCATAAGCAGACGGCTGCAGTAGACTTGTAGTATAACACTCGACTTCTGTTTAATATTAGCTTACCTAGGTCGCATGTTGGGTACTTTTTAAACGAACTAAGTATATTCTAGTTTTAAAGAAAAATATGCTTGGAAATTAATATATTTACCTGTATCAAATTTATGTCCAAATTTTTTTTATACAATTTTTTATGAAACGAGAATCTCATTTGTAAATATGTACATAAAGAAACAATTTGCAATGTAAAGCATAATATGTATTTATATAATAAAATGTAAACAAAAACTGATTTTCTTTCAATTTGTAATCCCTTTTTTAATATATGTATGTATAGAACGTATACCGGGTTAATAAATGTAAGTGTGGATTTTTTATTGTGAATGCTTTCAAATTAGTGTTTATTTATGCTTTGAAATTTGATATGAACACAAAGATCAAAATCTCAAAAGTTTTAAACGAAAAAAATTGATAAAGCAATTGGTAGTTATGAAAGAAGCAAGACAATTTTTTACAGGTGCATAAACTGTCCAATTATTAAATATATATAAAAAAAAATTATTGAGTACTGTCAGCACAGGCAAGGTAGTATTACGTAGATAAAATTTCTTATGCTGAAATGTACGATGTGTTGCATACCTGTTTAAAACCTTTTAAATTTTAATCACTGATTACCATATATCTATTAAAAAACCACAATGGCCGACATCAGTAACAATGCGACAATTGATAAAGAATGATGGCCGACAACTGCAACAATTAGAAAAGAATGATGGCCGACAACTACAACAATTAGAAAAGAATGATGGCCGACAACTGCAACAATTAGAAAAGAATGATGGCCGACACTACGTCATAGTGGAGCAAAAAAAATGGTCAGGGGCACGGGGAAGAACTAGTAACTGTAATATTAATTCCAGGTGGCACGTTAAGTTCAGCCGTTATTCTGTTCAAATAAGCAATTAGAAATCGTTTTCCTCAATTTAATGTATTTTATAACCCTTTTATATATATACAAACGCTATATACAATACATTGTATTAATCAGAATCTATAGTTGGAAACATTTCTACCACAATAATGTCCAGCAGGTTGTAACTCAACTGCAAAAATTAAACTTCGTCAAAGTATCTATTAATTAGTTTTAAAGTTATTTCCATTGAATATTTAATTGAAATTTACCATACAGTAATTTTTTAATCTGTACCTTTCTCATTCCAAAAATATCAAACCTGGTAATTTAAAATTACTAATCTACAACAGTTACCTGTTTATTGCAGAGAGGATTTTGTAACATGTCCAAGAGATTCCTCAGTCCAGGAAGGAAATTTTTTCCTAATATAAGTTGTGCAAGCGTTGGTACAGATTTCTCCAATTCTTCAAAAGCAGTCTTTTTTCTTATAGTCAATTCTTCTTCGGTTTGTGGTGGATGGTTTTCGAATATTACATCTGAAACATAGACAAGAGCTATTAGAAGCATACTGAATTTTTACCCTTCTCATACGCTAGATATTCCTTAATGATATGCATTTGTATTCTGAAAATATTCTAGTATATTTATAAAAAATTAATATTTCATCTCTCATCCTTAAGGACTATTCATAGCTTACGAAATCTAATTAGGAAAAGGGGGAGTCCAGCCGGGCGTTATGGTGGGGGTGGGAGAGGATATAGGTTTGCGTTACGTAACGATTTTAGAATTTATGTATAATTACGTTACTATTGGAAATTAACAAGACTTTTTAGAATGCAAACGGTACTAACGTTGTATTGAGGAGGGGAGAGGTAAGTCTACGCATTAGTCAAATATTGATGAATTTTGCGTTATGTAATTTATGGAGAATTTCTAATGAACTTCTGAATATGAACGTACTTTTTAAACAATAAATAAAAAGTGGTGTTAAATTGTACATTGCACTTACCCTCTAAAATATGAATTAAATGAACGATATTACTTTCTGATAGAAGATGTTTGATCTTGTAGTCAACAAATGACTCAAAAATTGCTTCAGTAGTTGTTTGAGACACAATACAGAATGCCACATACAATTTTAAAACACTCTGTGGAACCTTAAAAACGTGTTTGACTGAAATATAAAATATCGATACAATTTTTTGATTGTACATTAACAACTGATGTTTGATTTCAACATACACAAATAAAACAGTGATTCTGTCAATCCATTTGGATTTGAAGAAGTGCATGAACTCTCCTTAGAAACTCTGTCTGGTAAATTAAAGTTATTTTTAAATACGGAGCTTTTTATAGGTTTAGGTTCCGAAAGTTTCTGATGGGCATCATCATACACTTCATCACCTACTTCAGCCCAATCAAATTTACTGAAAACAAAAAATTATTTTTATTTTGTATAGATCTATGGAACCGCAACATTCAAATAATATGTTTCATTCCTTCTCTTTTATAATAAATAACAAAAAAGAACACAAACTTCGATGTTCACGTATTAATATAACGATTTATTAGTATTTTATATTTTTATATATTTTTACTTTGTTAACTGCAGATTTTTATTACATTCGTTAACATGCACAAATACATAATGTGAACAGCGGTTTTTTCATTAATCATCATTTTAATCTTGATTTAGGTTGACATATTTTTCACGATAAAACAATATTTCTTTTTTCCTACCTTTTCGAATAACCTGTAGAATTCAAATACGTATTTATAAAAGTATCCAAATGTTGCCCCCTTTCTTTCCTTATTTTAAATGCAAATGTCTGATATATATTTCCTATGTCATCAACTAAGGGAAAGTTAGATGTTGTATTCAAGAACAATGTAAAATCTTGTTCTGTTGTTAAAAAAGTGAATAGTAAATCACTGCCCCTTAGATTTGGCCTTTGCAGTAATGATTTCAAGAATATTTCATATTTATGCTTTCTGGTTTCAACAGGTACAGCGAATCTAATAAACAAAATAAGAAATATGGATTTGCCCTAATTTTAAATTTGTTATCTACCTTCTTGTTGGTAACGGAGAATTACAAATTTCGTTTTCTCCATGGAATTCGACTAATTTTGATTTCAAGTTGTAAAAATCTTCATCTTTCCTACGAACCGTCCACTGTTGAATTTCGTTTTCTGATGCTTTACTAATACAATGAACGTTAATATTAAAAAAGTGGATTTGTTTTGAACTGCTTATCTAGAAAAAACAACAATGGTGAGATATTTATAAAAAAATTATAGTACTTATTTACTTGTTGCATATCCACAGTCGTTATCGATACTTTCCACGAATTTAAATCCCTGAAGGCACCTGACGAATGATCAGACAAGAGCACATCTTCGACGTAAGCAGCTGTTTTTTCACCAAATAAGTGATGCTCTTGTGGATATAAAGCACCTTCAATCGTTTGATGAGGTTTTAAAGCAACTTTTATTTTTCCAATACCTGTACTAATTTTTGATGGTCCTTTACTTATTGAATCATAACTTCGTTGGCTTCTATTGTGAAACAAAAAACAAATGTAGCATAGTTATGAAAGTTTGAACATCTTTTTTCATGATAGTTTTTTTTATTTAGTTTTCAAATGAACTAATCAAAATTTAAACGAATTGATCATCATATACATTATGAATGTCACACAGTGTTTCAAAAACGTTTATTATTATATTATTTAACAGATTCGTATCTTATTTATGGTAAAAATAGTCATATTTAATAATTTTTTTGATGTGTAATATTTAATCGCTCATGTATGGGACTAATTTCATGCGATGAATGTAGGAAGGAAAAAACGCGAGCTATTCAATTTCTAAATACGTAATGAAATTACTATTCACAATCGATTTATATAATTTAAAGGTGTAAAATATTAAAATTACGTCGCTTTTCAAAATAAAAAAAAAACTAAAAGTGAAATTTAAAAAAGTTACCTTATTACAGACGCTTTGGAAAACGTTGGAGTTAATTTAGATCCACAAATATGGTTGTAAAACTAAAAGTTATGTACCTTAGCAAAAAGAATCTTAATTAAATAAAAGCTACTGGCAGACTTACCTCATTGCTGTGAAAGAACAAGGGTAACCATTCACATTCTAAATGTGAATAGGCATAATCATAAGCTTGGTATAAAGGTTCAGATGTTCTTAATTTAACTATATTGTAAATTCCTTTCTGAAGCAAGTGTTTAAATTCAGTAGCAATTTGTTGTGAACATCCTATATATTCGAAACTTTCAGAATCAAAATACATTTTATACAAATTTTGAGCACTTTCATGAATAGATTCTAATTCCTTCTTTGTCAAATCAGGATTTAGTAATTTATCATTAAATTCCTCTGAAATAAAAAATAATGTTAAAAAATATATAAAATTTGAACTATTCTTATTCTTCTTCATTATTGAAAATTATTAATATTAATTAATTAGAAAAGTAATAATACCAAACTTACCAATATCCAAGCAAAATTGTAAAAAATGTACTGCATTTTCCTTTTTCAAAAATTGCATAAAAACATAAAGTAGTTCTGTTGATTTTAATACATCTTTCAGACTACAAGTAAAGGATGAATTGGAGGTGTACTTTCTTTTAAAATTGTACAAAAATTCCACTTTTTCTGAAGATTGAATAGTTGGCCACTTATTTTTATGCGTACATGCTAATATTATCAATAAATTTATCATGTGTGGATTTGCTAAAAAATCCATGAGCGGCAATAAAACCCAAACGGAAACTATTTCTCTTATCATAACGGAAAAATTCCTAAAACAAATACAAAATTGATTCATATCCGTAGTGCAGAGGGTTATTTATATATACAAAGCGGAGGATTGGTAAACCAATGATGGTGTGTTTTTAGTCTTTAATAATTGAATTAATAGTATATTATTTTTGACCAAAACTTGCTAAGATGATATCAATAAAAACGAGATAAAAGACTATAGATAACTGTTAAATTAAAATTAAGAGAAAGCCAAGGCTTAATCTCGTACTTGGCGACTACACTTCAAAAAGTACCCGAAAACCGAAGAAAGTAAACTAAAAAGAAAGCCAAAGAATCTGGCAAAACAGCTGAAGAATTTTCAAAAAAATATCAGTTGTAACACCAATAATACATTAAAAGTTAAAACAGAATAGATAAGGTCTGGTTTTACAAGGATAATTGTAAAGATAATAGAAGAATTCAATATCTTAGCATCATATCAAAAGACTTCAAAATCTGAAGCCATTTATGCCATTGTCATTCTAAATGATTTATGTATGTTGTTGGCTTCTCTTATAATGACAAAACTCATTTTCATTTTCCATTAAGTTTCTGCACCAAAAGACATGTTTATAGACACAAATTTAAAACAAAAAAATGGATGTTGAAGAGTTGTTGTACAACTGTTGTCTGATGTACTTTCGCATTTAGGAGTGGATGAAAAGAAGGCTTGAATGTGCAGAATTAAAGATCTTAATCCAAAACAATGGTGTCAGTCAACTTACTTGCAATTTAAACAATCTTCATGTACTAGGTGTGGTAATAACCATGAAGTTAAACTTCTTACATAATTTAATTCGTTTTGTCTATTAGTGGCAGCTATATGCAACTTTTTACCAAAGTAGTCAACTGCAATCTCATTAATTTGGGAATTCCTTATTTTTGCAATTTGCTCAATACTCATATAGTCATCTACATGCTTAATGGCACAAGGAATAAGCTTGGTAGTTAATACTTTTGTTACATCAAATTCCAGCAATTTTGTTAAAAAGGTGGCTGTTGTATGCCTCAAACAAACTCTTAATTCATTTGGGAATGATATATCATTGGAAAATGTTTTGTACCATGACAAAACATAAACATCTAGTATTTTGTTATAAAACTGTAATAAAAATGCAATTATATTATGGTAAAGAATCTGCTAATGTAATATTTTTCTTACTTCTTCTATTGCTGTATTTAATTCTGCAGAAGGATATAAATTTGTTAAGGGATTTGAGCGATGATGGTGTCGTTTACATGAATCATTGCTACACACACTACATGCTTTTATAGTTATATTTTCTTGTGGAACAGCTTTATAAAGACTGCTGAACTGTTTCATAAAAGAGAAAATATTAGATTGGTTTTTAAGAAAAACCCAACAGATTATGTATCCACTGACATAGCAAATTAATAGGAACACTCCAGAGAGGAAACTAAAAAAACAAAGAAATAACATTTTTGAAAAAACAGCAAAAACGGAGCACTAACCTAAAAGTAATCGATACAAACGTTGTGGTTAAAAAAATTATTAAAGCTGTCCATCGAGCTGCTTCTTCGTTATACGTATGATAAATTATCCTTAGCATATCTACCGATTCTTTATGATTATTATAAAATCAACTTTCGGTTTATTTTACACTTATCCGCATTATTTGTTTGAATTTGGTGTAAACGTCAATCACAAAACTTAAAAATAAAATAAATAACATTAAACGTCAAAACAGGTGTCAAAACTTACTTAGCTCCACCTATTAAGAATAATATAAACTAAGACAATAAGAACGGATTAAATTCTGAGTAAAATATGCAATTTATCCAAACAAAACGTCATGGATCGCGATTTCGATTTTTACACTTCACTATATAAGTATTTATTTCACTGCAAGTTGCGATACGTTCAAGTAGATACGTTACTAAAATCCTTGTCCAACATTTGAAATACTTCAGTTAGCAGTAGATATGAGTAGATGGCGGCAAACTGCCGTTACTTTATATTATTTATAAACTTAAATAGTTATTAAGTTATAATTATATGTATAGATAGAAGGTTATAAGTTAAAATTAACCCAATTAAAATCTGAAGGTCCGGTCTCAACTTTTTCCTATCCTGAGCTAATCTTCGCATTACCCTAAAACTAAAACATTCATCAGATCGTCG